CGTTCAGCTGGTGCAAAAATGTTAGAAAGAAATATAGGATAACAAGAGAGAAATATAAAAAAGTGACCAAAAAGTCAATAAATGATGAAATTTTAAAAAGGCTAAGAGATGATGAATAGAGATAAAATATTTTGTAACATGGTGATTGTATTAAAAACTAATAGAAAAAAGTAGAAAGTATAAATTGAGAAAATAGTAGCACACATATGGATATATAATAGAATTTATTATAACAACAAATATACTATGACTAGGAGGTGGAAGACTATGATTAGGTATATTTAAATGTAGTATTATTATTAACAGTGTGTAAAAATATATTGAAATTTATAGCTTTTAAGGACTAGAAATTCAGGGGGTTTAGAGATATAATCTCAGGACTGAAATGAAGATGTGTCTCCATGTTGCTTATCACTTTCTTGTGCCTCATCAGACCTGACCAAAGGAAGGTGACATTTCAAAGAACATGCATCTAGCTCACTTTCTCCTTTCTAAGACTGCCCAATTAGCCTGCCCATCTTTTTGCCCCTGCAAACCCCTTGTGGGCAGGAAGCCATCTTGGAGGGAGGCTCTTACAGATTCTCTTACAGTCCATCAATGGTGCCCCATTATGCCCCCTGCATAAGAAGGAGGCCATGGTACCTGTCAGGAGGCACAGGAAGGTCCTCCAGGTCACCCTTAATGCAACAGAAAACCACTGAACATCTTTTCCAGATGTTCTGTGAAGAGAAGAGAAATAGATGTGAGCCATTCAGAAGAGTTCAGAAGCATGACTTTACTGCCAGTTTCTTGGCTGCTGATAGTCACACTTATTCTGAAAAGCCTTCTGACAGCCATGACCAAATCAGATATTTACTGCATGACAGAAAAATCGGCAGCTATGCGCTACTGGTTTTTCAGGCAAACTAACAACCTCATTAACAGCAACCAGGTAAACAATGGCCACATTAGAAACCTACACAAGGAAGGCAGCTCACCTTGGACTAGGAATGGCCGGTCACTGACTTTCTTGGTGGCCTTTGGCCTCTGCTTCATGTGGGAAGTTGTCTGTTCATGAACAACTGAGAAGCACAATCATTGTGGCAGAAAGCACAGAGAAAATCATAGAACTCTACAGCGGAAGGGAGTTTTAGTCCACGGAAGGAAATTCCTCCTTATTTCCAGGATTGGATTTCTCTCTGATTAGCTTCCACCTGCTGCTTCATGTCCTTCCTTCAGCTACTATGAAGAACCAACGCCCCCTTCCCTGTGGCTTTCCTGCAAGTATTAGAAGACTGCTCTTATGTCTCTCCTCATTCTTCTCCTCATGGAGACCCGGAACCCAACCTGCTTCTCTGCTGGCCTCTTGGGCGATTTGACCTTCCTTTATCCTTTGGGCCAGTACAACCTAGAATCTCTTGCTCACCTGTTAGGGGGTCCCAATCCACGCCCACCAAGCCATGCTACACCCACCAAGCCACGCCCACAGAACCGGTAGAAAAATTTATTGAATCCCACCACTGGGACATGTGTGGTCTCCAGGGTGGGGAGGGTCCATGTGCACTGTCTCCACAGGGCTGCTGAGGCTCTGGTTGCGTCCAGGACTCACTCTCCCCTTCCAGTTCCTCCTGAGTGGGATGTGTGCCACTGGATGTTGTCAGGGCTGAAGCCCCTCTCTTGAGTGGCACATGGATACAGTGAGCCTGGCGGCTGTGGGAGCAAATACTGGCCAGGCTGCTGCCTCTGTCGCTGGTGCTGCTGAGGGGGCATGCCAGAAATTCATCTCCTCCTGCTGTAGCCTGGCTCGGGAAGGTTTAGGGCAGGCCCTGCTCTCCCCTGACAGGTCTAACAGCTCTGAGGGTCTTCCCTAATAAAATACTATTTAATGTTCTTGGGACTTGAAAAACTCCTCCTATGCAAAAATTACTAACTTTCCACCACACTAGAGCTATGTGTTGTTTTATGTGTGTATAAATATAGATCCTTCTCTCTCCTGACAAATCTAACAGCTCTCAGGGTTTTCTCTAATAAAATACAACTATTTAATGTTCTTATAAGTATCAATTACTAACTTTTTATTTCCACCCCAACATCTACAGGTATGTTTTAGTGTGTGTGTGTGTGTGTGTGTGTGTGTGTGTGTGTGTGTACACACATACTATATAATATATATAATTATGTATATTAAACAAGCCATTCATTATAGGTAGTTCTAGATTTATGACTAGTTGTATAACGACTATTTGAAGTTCTGAGGAACTGCCCCACAGTTACTCTTGACTTATTTTATGAATTATGATGGCCGCATATCTCCAGCTCTGTGATTCCATGATCACAGTTGGATGCTTGGTAATTGCCTTACCTTTGTCACTCTTTTGCAGAATCCTGGCATTCACTTAATGCCTCGACCTACTACGACTGTAATTCAGGGCTCAATTGCAGTCTTAAGTTGAGGACTACTGTAACTGATAATGTGACTTCACATTAGAGAGACGCTGTACTAAAATATCTTCTAAATAATTTTTGAAACATTCACTGCCCTAATAAAATGGAGACATTTCTTCTTTCTTCAGGAATGGGCTTGCTAATAGCAAATATATTCTATTTTAAATTTCCAAATATCATACACTAGGAACAAAAATAAAATAAAAATAGACACCCGGTTCAAAGTAACCAGCTTCACAACTTGTACAGAAACAGAACAAATTCTTATTTTCTTTCAAATCCCAGTTTGAAGGTTTACTTCTAAAATGTCTATCATTTCATATAGTTATTACTTTTTTTTCTTCCTGCAATGGGAGAATTTGCTCAATTTTTTTTTTCATTTTTAAATGTTGTCCTTGTCCTCTCTGAATTTATAAACATATTTTTGATGTAATGCCAAAAACAGGAATAAATTGTTATCCTTAGGACTCCATTCCTGAAGGATGGGCTTCAGAGTTGTGAAGTGATTAGAGAAATTTCAAAGGAAAGTTTGGAAACAGGATTAGGTAAACATAGGACAGGTAGTTGTTGACTTATTTAGTGTTGTTGAATTCATTTAGTGACTGTTGAAAGTTACAATGGCACTGAAAAAAGAGACTTATGACCACTTTTCAAATTCACGACCTTTGTAGCAGTCCCTTGATCGTGTAACCAAAATTCAGATGTTTGGCAACGGATTCATACTTACGACCGTTGCTGTGCCCCAAGGTCATGTGATCACCTTTTGCAACCGTTTGAAAAGCAGAATAAATACAGAAGCCAGATTCACTTAACAACCATTGTTAGTAACATCACCTACAGTGATTCACTTAAGAACAGTGGCAAGAAAGGTAGCAAAATGGGGCAAAACTCACTTAACAAATGTCTCACTTAACAACAGAAAGTTTGGGCTCAATTGTGGTCGTAAGTTGAGAACCACCTCTATCACTCTGAATATTTTTCCTAGGGCTAAGACTCCAGACCTTCCTCCCGTCTGTCCTTCCACTCCCAGCTCCCAAATTTCTCACTTCTCTTCCCTCCAGGAAGAAAGAATACAAACCAGGAGGAGGAACCCACTGTTACTGTCCTTTGATTGATGGTCCTAAGATCCAGTCAGCACTCACTGAATTTCTGGGCCACAGGAAATGGCCTCCTCCTTTCCCAACCCAGGGCCTCAAAATCAGGCCTGAGATGAGAGAGGTCTGCAGTCCCTGCTGTTGGTCCTCCTGTAGTTCCCCTCAGGCTGAGACAGCCAGTGTTTTCAATGGTTTGCACACTTTATTGCAGTGGAGACAGACACACAAACCCCGGAGCCCACAAATAACTATGAATAGGATTATGATGGTGATAAAATACAAATACGTTAGATCTATGTTCAAATACCAATCTCTAGGCCATTTAACCATTGAAGCGAAGCATCATTTATATTTTAAAAATCGCATACCATATATGGCCTCAGTTTACAGCCGGTCATGATCTGATCTACAATTTGATGTAGGACCCCCATTTTGTGTGAGTTTAAACACTGTTTGCTGTTTCTGAATTCTAATGCTAATCCCTGACTAAATTGCCTTGGCACATAATTTTTCCTCATTCTGTTTAGTTTCCCTTTCTTTTCTGCTTTGCTGCTGAGTAATGACAAGCCTTTACATTTTGTTCCCCTGACAGGCCAAACTTTTACATTTACTGCTTAAAGTTAAATCATGATTGAGCTAGAGCAGTATGTGCTGGATAACACACTGTTGAGTCGTGGGAATGAAGAGGCAGGAGCAAAGTAGTGCGTGACAACAGCTCTTTAATTTAGAGTGAGACTTCAGCTGGAGGTACAGTCGGTACCGGTAGTTGCTGGTAATGTGCCTTAAGCGAGGCTTTCAGCACTTTTCACAATACAGTCTGAACCGGAGTCAGTTCCGAAAGTGATTCAGCCATGTCAGAGACCTCCGGTCCGCAGTGGCTCAGGAAGAGGGCTCTGTTCCTGTTTACGGGGAGGCCCTGCATGTCGCTGGCTTCCAGGGAACACTCGAACCAAGTCATGTACAACCCCCACTTCTCTCTGGCTGGATCGAAAGGCTTTGGCGGTACATACAGACATCGTGGTAGTCCTGCTATGTACGGGGCTTGTCAGCCTGGCTGAATCCGCTGTTGTTAGCTCTTTTCACGCTTGCTTCTCGTTGCCTCAAACCCACCTTCGTCGCCAATGTTGAGTCGAGGGAATGAAGAGGCAGGAGCAAGGTAGTACCTGACAACAGCTCTTTAATTTAGAGTGAGACTTCAGCTGGAGATACAGTCAAACAGCTCCCTTTATATACCTTGATGGGCCGGGAGCTGACCAATCACAAATGACCTATTGTTGTTTAAACTTCCCGCCAAAATTATATACATAACACACACAGTATAATTTTGCTAGGTTTTTAGTTTCCTCTTAATACACTCTACTAAAACAACAGCTTAATGAAGGCGGGAAAGAGCTAGAGACATTAGCTCTTCATTTAATTATCTCATCATATTAAATGACCTCTTAGACTTTCCTTTTTATTGTGCCTTTCTCTGTTTTGCAGGACATTATGGTAAAACAGTTGCAGCTCAGTCGTCAGATGCAGTGGATTTACCCAGTGAATGGACTTTTTGAGAAGAATTGTGGAAATGGCAAGTAGCATGTTTTCCATAATTGGTTAGTGAGAGACCTATTGAACTCTTGCTCTTGCTGTTCTGATCATATGGCAATAGGAACAGCAGATTACACTGATTAAAATAATAGGTCTGGTGTCTCTTAAAAATCTAACATCTCTTCTGTATTTATGCATTCCCTGTCTCTTCAGCCTCTGGAAACAGGAGGATTCATTCTTGTGTTATTGTATTTCATTTTGACAACACATCCTTAGTATAGAATGTTTGAGTAGGTCGGTTACTGTGGTCCCTGGCCTACAGGAGTGCTTGAATGGCAGCTGAGATATGGGAAACTTGAAAAATGCTGACAACTTGGAAGTTATCACTAGATGATCAATACAACTTTATTTATTTCAATGTATATAGCCACCCATATGACATATGACTTTGGGCAGTAAGCAATAATTAAAATTAATCATTGAAATATTATCGGCATCATTAACAACCAAAAAACGGATCACACCAGAGGAAGCTCACATATACACATGCACTGGGAAACATCCTGTCCCAAGAGGAGGGGAAAAAGCCACATTTTAATGCCTGGGGTGGGAGGTGTAGAGATCAGGAAATGGAAGAAGATACATACTACATTGCTTTAGTAAGAGCATATTTTGGAATATTATCTCCAGTTTTGGCCACTGCAATACAACAAAGATGCTGAGACTATAAAAAGGGTGCAGAGAAGAACAATCAAGATGATTAAGGGGCTGGAGACTAAAACATGATGAAGGGTTGCAGGAACTGGCTATATCTAACAAAGATAAAGACTATGGGTGACATGATAGCAGTCTTCCAACATCTGAGAGGCTCTCATAGAGAAGTGGCTGTAACAGGTGGAAAGTTATGAAGGAGAGGATCAACCTAGAACTAAGGAGAAATTTCCCAAGAGGAAGAACAATTAACTACTGGAACGGGTTGTCTGCAGAATTTATGGCTGTTCTATCAGTGAAGTTTTAAAGAAGAGATTGGACAGCCATTTGTCTGAAATGGTACATGGGCTCCTGCTTGACTTTTTCTCCTACTGCCAGTTTCATGGCTGCTGAGATGGCCACGCTTACTTTGAAAAGCCTCCTGACAGCCATGACCAAATTAGCTGTGGCTGTTGGTACTGCCATATTCACTGCCCAACAGAAGACTAGGGCAGCTCTGCACTGGCTCCAGAACCCACTGCACTCCAGCACAGTTCACTAGTTTAGGAGAACTGACCAGAGGGCGTCCATCCCTCCCCAACAGAAAACACTTTGTCTTTCTTACCCATGGACTGGAAGAAACGCTGGCCTTGGAAGCCACTGCATCCTGGTCCCAGCTTCCCTCTGACTCCTCATCCAGAAGGTCAGCAAGGGAGTTTACTTCCTCCAAGCTGCTGATCCTGGAGCCCACCAGGAATATCATGGAGTCCTGCAAATGACACTATGGTTGCTAAATCCTAAGCTTCCTGAATTTCAATAAGATAGTTAAAGCCAACAGCAGGAGGGCCTTTGGAAACCTTAAGCTTAGGAGGCTATATTGCACAATTTCTCCCCTTCCTCATCAGGATTTATGGCATGGCCTCCGTTGTCCCCATTGCGAAAACCTGCTTACCTCTGAGGAATGTGTTTTCTCCCCATTTAGGACAGAGCTCCTCTTCCACGGCTTTGTCTTCCAAGTTTTCAGTCCAGGGCAAAAAGGTGAAATAAATGTAAATGAAAGCCCCTTGTGAACCAGTAGGGGGTCTTCCCCCTCTGAGGTGCTACCTACCTTGATGGACAGGGACTCTCCACATCTCTCAGGCTCTCTAACGGAAGGGATTCTTTCAATGGATCCTGAAATAAAAACACAAAGATTCTGTCTGTTGGCATATCAGCAAATCAATAGAGACAGGGCTTCTGCCATTAGCATGGTGAGATGTTGAAGCCTCTCCACAGTTGGAAAAGATGCAACCTCCACTTCTCTGTCTTGACATTTCTTGGGAGAGAAGGAAGAACAAACTATCAATACTAGCCATCAGCCTTTTTGAAGATCAAACAGTTGGAGGCTTTAAGAGCATTGCCATCGGGCCTGCCAATAGGGTTGCCTTGCATCATTTTTCCTTTCGCAGAATCAGAGGCAGAGGGTAGAGATGCTTCCCCTCTGCAAGCCTTTCTTCTAGCTTTTCTGTTTAGGGATTTAGTGCAGCTGCCTTTTTGGAAAAAGTTCAGAGAAGAGCAACTAAGATGATCAAAGGCCTGCAGACTAAACCATATGAAGTTGCAGGGTTTGGGTCTGGCTGGTCTAAAGAAAAGAAGAATTAGGGGTGACATGATAGCAGTATTTCAGCATTTGAGAGGCTGCCACAAAGAAGAAGGGCTCAAATTATTCTCCAAAGCACCAGAGTGCAGGACAAGAAATAGTTGGAAACTAATCAAAGGGAGAAGCAATCTGGAATTAAGGAGAAGCTTCCTAATGGTGAGGACAATTAACCAGTGGAAGATCTTGCCTCCAGGAATTGAGGATGCTCCATCACTGAAGGTTTTTTAGAAGAGACTGGACAGTCACTTGTCTGAGATGGCATAGGTTCTCCTGTTTCAGCAGGGGACTGGACTAGAAGACCTCCAAGGTCCCTTCCACCTCTATTCTATTCTAGGAAAAGTCACCTGGAGCAGGCAGAAGCAAGCAGGATGCTTCCTGGTGACAACTTTCTCCTGATGCTTCAAAGTTTGACTGAACTGGGATCATCGAGTTTTGCAAAGCCTTTAAACTCCTAGGTGGAGACTGGCAGCAGCTCAAAAATTCTTATTGCACAGAACTGGTTGGTGTCGTCGCGAGAACAGTTGGAAATAGCGGAAGTCTGCGAGCTCCATGAAAACCAGCCAGTATCTGCTTGTCGGTTTTTAATGGACTTGTCGCTGTTGTCGCTGTTTAATGGACTTGGAGCAGGAGAGCCATCTACTGGAGGAAGAAGATTACTGCAGCGTGGGAAAGTGAGAATTGTTTAAGATAGACAAAGAAAAGGAGTGAAAATAAATAACACCTGGAAGGCCACTTGACCTTGATTCTATCTCAGCAGGCAGTTTGGAGGTTTTCAAGAAGAGATTGGACAGCCATTTGTCCCTTCCAACTCTGTTATTCTGTTAAATTCCGCTTCTAGGTGACTTTTATGGCCTCTGATCAATGTCTATTCAGGGTTTTACCTTTATATGGTAAATATAGAACCTTTCTTTCCTAAGTAAGTGCATATTCCCAAAAAGGACCCAGGTTAGTTATTTTGTTTAAGATGTTTATTGAAAAACATCATCAGTGCTCCTTGAATATATAATAAATAATCCCCCCAATTGCTTTTAGTTGGGAAGTGGGGAAAGAAAAAAAAAGGTATAAATTGGCCTCAGAATTGCCCTAGCTAGATAGAAGCTCTTTATAGTGAGCATGTGCCAATAACATTTTGGAGGGCGTTATTTCAACAGTGGGCTTATCATTCCTAATAGAGAAGGTCAGTCTGATTGACCATCAGACAGAGGAATTAAACAGGATCTTCCTTCCCATTTAAATAAATATATAAATAAATAACTTTATTGCCGTTGTACGTGTATTCAAAGTATACCCATACAACGAAATTCAGTTAACACCCAAAGACCTGGTCCAACACACATAACAATCCCCAAACAGACTCCCACCCACCACAATTCTCCACCCCTAAACCACCCAAACATCCACACAACGGACCAAGTAATACTCTCCAACAGCTCACTGATGGTGGTCCTTTAGTTCAGGGGTCTTCAACCTTGGCTCCTTTAAGCCTGGAGGACTTCAACTCCCAGAATTCCCCAGCCAGTTTTGCTGGCTGGGGAATTCTGGGAGTTGAAGTCCTCCAGACTTAAAGGAGCCGAGGTTGGAGACCCCTGCTTTAGTTCATGGTTGAGTGCAATTATAGCTCTGGGATCAAAACTATTCAGAAAACATGGGTCCGAGTTTTAATTGTTCTGTATCTTCTGCCAGAAGGCAACCGTCCAAAAAGATTGTAAGCAGGATGGGAAGAGTCTCTGAGAATGTTATGCAACTTTCTCAAACAGTGAGATTCGAAGATGTCGTCCAGGGCTGGTAGCTGGAGTCCAATGATATTCTGGGCAGTTTTAATAATTCCCTGTAGAGCTTTTTTGTCCGCTACAGAGCTGCTCCCATACAATGCAAGAATGGGAGGATACTTCTTCACAAGCATGTTAGCATTCATAGTCCATGAGAGGTCCTGTGCTTAATATCAGAGTAGAGGAATGGTGAGATCCCATCCTTACTGACTGTGGCCCACCTGTCTGAAAATCCCTTATCCACAAACAAATCCTCTGATTTATACCCAAATCGGACATTTTAAACCTGCTGGGTAAAATGGTGTTAAAGGCAGAGCTATAATCCACAAATAACTGTCTCGCATATGTCCCCTGTTGTTCCAAGTGATTCAATACAGTATGGACAACAAGAGACATAGACATTTAGATGGTGATACTGAGGAACAAAGAAGAGAGGAGACAATTTTGAGTTTCTGAGAAACTCTTGTGAGTAAAGTAGAGAATGAACTTTTGTGCTACTCTTATATTCTCAATTCTTAGTAAACTTGAATCAACTTTTCCTTTTCAATTGAAAATGTACCAATTAACAAGGTTCCTGAGAGGACAATATCCAAGCAAAGTATGCTACGTCACCATTCACTTGTGGTAAAAAATTTTGTTTAAAGTTGAATTGAAATCGCCATGCATAGAAATTCTTTGTGCCAGTTATTTTTTTAAAAAAGTTTTTTATTTTTATTTCTCATAAACACATTTATATGTACAGTCACCTTATTTTTTAACTTTCGCTTTTAATTTTTACTTTTTACTTTTTCGGGGCTGCTCTTTTACCCTTTACTTTTATTCCAACCTTTCTTCTTCTCCTCCCCTTCTCTTCCTTCCTCCTTCTCCTCCTCCTTTCTTCTTTCTTCCTCTCCTTCGCTTTCCTACTTCCCCTTCCCTTCCCCCACTCCTCTCTTCTTCCCCCCTGGTTGTGTAAAGAAGCAAAACATTATGGGGTGAAAATACAAACATAATTAGAGGGAATGTTGCAGCAACATATAGAGTTAAAGCCAGAGATATTCTTACTGGGAATTTTACCAGAGAATTAC